AAAATTGTGAGAGGGAAGGCATGATATGAGACTATAGGAAATGTGAATAGCCGAGGGGAGATACCACAAATGTTTAGCACACGTTTGCTCAAAGGATGGGCTTCACTTGTCTCTTTTGACCAGTTGTAATATGGTGCTACGAATTGCGAGACTCACTGACTATGCCGGCGAAACGTCTGGGAATGTACCACTTCCACGGTCCCCCTCTAAATCATGATGCATACAATGGACTCCGGACTAGGTGCGTTCCTCTAATTCTTCCTACCACTATGACTAAGTTGCGAAAACAAGGTCAAACAACTTTTAACCTGTTTTCACTTCGTTTACAACACTGTAAGCGTCCCTCTGACAAAAGCCGGGTCATATGAACTCCAATATTATTAATATCTTCTCACGATACGCATGAACTATTTTTAAATCCTCCTAGAAGCATTAATGAGACCTAGACGAGTAATCAACTGTAATCCATTTGGGATGCAGGAGTTTGCATTGACCCATCCCTATTATTTTTCACTACACCGGTTACTATCTCTATACCACATTCTTTCGTCTTCTTTTTTACTCCAATCTTAGGTCAGGCCTAATGGCACTACTCGTTTAAGGAGTCCGCTCATTTTACTCTTTGGCCCGAAAAACAAAAATGCAATTACTAGTCTTTCTTATACACAATTTTCAACTATTTCTTTCAGTGACCACCCTATTCCAAGCTTTCCTCTTTGGAGACTAGTATTATAGTGATAAAATCCTGCTCTACTCCTTCATCTATGCTTCTCATCGGTCTCAGAACAGATATCATATTATCTCTTGTCTGAGAATTCGCCTCAATTTATTTATTTTGTGAGATATCTTATAATTAGACTTCATTGTCATCTTTAAGCCCTTTTACTTCATTTTATTTTGAGCAACTTCGCGGAATGTTTTTTAAAGTTACATCTCAATGGATGATCCCGATCGTTGCTAATTTACTCTCAAATTCTCCTAATTTACCGTAGACTGAAGATAAGGTTTTACACACCAAAGCCACCATTGCTAACTGACGACTAATTTGTATTTATCAATAAATTTTAACATTTTTGTCCATTTCATTTAACCGCATTTTTTTTCCTCTAAACTTCATCCAAGTGAATATGGACAGTCTTTTATTATTTACTAGACCCATTCTCAATTACAGCTTATATGCATAATTTACCTCGCTTGGTACAGGTATTGCTTTGTGATCTTGATATTGATCTGCCACCACTCTTGGCTGGACACCAGGCTTGCTTTCTTTCACCCACACAATGGCCTATCTCAGCACCCTCTGCATTCAAGGTCATTGAATATGCTACTTCTGCCAGCTCATCTAAGATGAACGCATTTAAACAACACCGGTCCTTTACTCAGTTGGCGGACCCAAGCCTGTTGTCGGCTAACACCCCAACGGGTCCGAGAGACCCAGGGGTCACGAGTGACTCGTCAATAGCTTCCGCTTTCGAGGCTTCAATCAATAAATCAAAGAGGGTCTCCGCTTCTGGTATAAATGAGTCACATCCTGGGGATTCTGCTGCAGAAGATCCGTTATCAAGTGGACCTGGAACTCGAGACGAAAGTGCTATGAACTCTGACTTATCTTGCCATCCCACTCTTCTAGATAGAATGTTAGCCATGCAGAATGCAGACTTTCAAGCTGTAAAATCTGTAAGATCTTTTTTAATTTTTTCGGTTTATTTCTTACCATCTACCTTTAGAATGAGGCTTTTTGTAAGGAATTTTCTTTACTAATAACTCTATGCACGTTCTTTTTACTTTAAATTTTTATTTGTATTTTTTGTTTCTCATTCTGTTTTTTCTTGTTGGTTTCTTGAGATTGTCTAGCACTTCATCATTTGTATACAATATTTTTAAATTTTTAATTGACGGTTCCTAAACCCTACTCTTCCTTCTTTATTGTAACACTCCAAATCAATTCAAATCCATTCTCGATCCAAATGGTCTACTTAAACTATTTAGCTTAATAGCCAGCTAGGCATCCGTGGTCTCCTATGCTTGGCACACAGACGACCCGCACTTGCCTCGCAGCTTTTTACTGCACTCTGGCCGCAGCTTTGGCAAGGTTTGTTGCTTGGCCAGAATATTTCTGGTCAAAGAGGTATTCGAATACGCCGAGACATTGTTTCAGACGGGGAAGTTGAGCTGATTGAAGAGAGAGAAGAGGAAAGTGATGATTATGATGATATTGAGGAAGAAGAAGTGACAGATGAAATGATGGTGAATGAAGTGAGAGAAGATGCAACAACTGCTAAGAGAAGCGAAGATGAGGGGACTTTTGGTGATACGAAGCCGAAAATCAACGAAACTGGCATGTCGGAGGCTCATGGACTAGTTTCGCTCCCGATTACTGTAAATTCACATTCAGGATCTCTTGTTTCATTCGATGCCACTAATACTGCTATGGCTGAGTGTACGGCCATGTTAGCCACACCCATGGTTGCGTTTGATTCAGCTTCATGTGATGTGGCAGTTAAGACCGAAAGTATGGAGGTCGACGAACCACAAGCAATTTCAGAGGGACCCACATTAATCGAGAATAGGGTTTCACCGCACCTTGATGCTGTTGGCGAGTCTGAGGGTAGAACCAAAATCAGGTTAGCCTTCCTTTTTCTTGTTCATTGTTGGCTTCTTCATTTCCACACTTGTTGCTGTTTTCTATTCTTATCGGGCAGTACTTTACTATCACTTAACGCTTGTTAATCAGACTGACCTCTTGTGTCTATGGAAATGCGTGTTTTACTAGATATCTATTATCTGTGACTTGGATTATGACAGTGAATTTCATAGCCTACTCTTTTTACGCTCATAGGAAGATTTGACTTTACCAATTCAATTAGGCCTACAAAATTTGCTTTCTCACCTTTTTGACCCTCTTTTCTATCTATCGGAGCTGATAAGATTTGGAAATAGAATTCGATCTTAAGATAATTATATTTCACCTAATCGGATAACTTATTCAAATTTAAGAGAAAAAATTTAAGTTTTCCATTGCCTTACAAAACGCAGTATCAAGGAGGGCCGAAGGGTCTTGCATTCCATATTCCTGGGGAAATTTGTTATTAAAGTGTATAAGGATCGACTTGAATGATTTACCACAAGGTTTATGGGTATATTTTACCATACTTCAATCAATCCTGTTAATTTGACTTTTAGATCCTGATTCTTTGGCATACTGGCATTCTTTCTTAAATCGACAAGCTTTTTTGTGCAAGTGACACTAATGAACGCAATAGAATTGATTAACATGCATAATATCTCTTATTGGCTTAATGATATATGTGTATATTTTAAATGCACTCATGATTTGCTTATTCTTTCTATTCAACATCTGCAATGTGTTCTCTGACTTGGGTACACAACCTTTTCTTAATGCCACACTATCTTAATATTCATATTAACCATTTGATTTACTTTAACTGAAAAACAGGAATGGTATTATAAATTTTCCATTTTATGACTACCAGTAGATGACGAAGAACTGATAGTTGAATTTCCTAGGAAAATTTACTTGAAATTCACATCTGCCTTGTAACCCAAGAACACTCGTGATTAACGTGTCGAGATTATAGGCTGCACCATCACGGTTTTAGTTCCACTGGGGGTGCTGGCTAGACCTAGGTGTGGTCGGAAATGCAGTCCAACGTGTATAAGAATACCTTTTGGGAAATTCATTAGAGACGTAAGACCTACTGTTATTATTGTGAAAAAATCTAACTACCAGTCGTTCGTTATATTAAACGAAATAGGATGAATACATTGTTTTCAAGCAAAAGTATTTTAATCCAATTTATGAAGACCAAGATGGTATGTCTTTTTATATGGTCGCAGTCTCCCTTCGTTGTCTAGACGGTGTTTTACCTTGTTTTCGCAACTTGGTTCTGTTGGTAGGAAGACTTAGAGAAAGCCACCTAGTCATGAGCCCATAGTATACATGCTAATTTCAAGAGT